TTTAGCACAATAAGACAAAACATCACATCTAACCCATAATCATTTCATTTTTTGTCTCACAAAAAGTCAAAAAAATCAAAAAAATCCTTCCCAAACAAGGTTTTTTAGCCTTAGACTAAAATAATCAAAAAGTCAAAAGCTAACTGAGAGGGAGATTTCTTAATCTGGCCTTGGGCCGTAGTATTGGCCGGGTTGAAGGTGGTCCGAGCGTGTTTGGGCCGAGCTAGGCTAGGCCGTTCCAGGTGGAGTTTTCTCGGTTGAAGTTTAGACCAGATTTGGCCGAGATGATTCTCTGCCAGCCCGGTTACTGTTGTTCGCTCATTTAGCTCGGCGAGTGGGACCCTCCGCAGACCGACTCAACCGAGCAGGAGGTCGGTCACAGCAACAGGCTGTTAAGCTCGGTCGCAATAGAGCTCGGCTAGGAGCACTGTATTTCTCGGAAAGTGATATGGTCGTAGGAGGCCGGGGTAGCGCTGCCGGGTTGGCCGTTCGCACCAACGCCGTTTGGCGGTTTGGTTAGGTGGTGTTTAGCTGTATTTGCGCTGACACATGGGAAAGTGAGATAGGAGAGTAGGTCCACGCGTCAAAAGGCAAATGGACGCAGATGTAAGTGCAGAAAGGATATAAACGTGACTGCGCCCCCCATACTAGAGATAGAACATCTATTGGTGAGAGAAATTCTAGCACTTTGTCTTCTCTTTTCTCTCTCTCTTTGAGTGTGTGCTAACTTGACCGTCGGAGGGGTTTTCTGGAAACACACCGCCGGGTAGCTCACCGTCGTTGTGTTCACAGGTTAATCGGATAGGAGAGGAGCTTGGACGCGAGGAGTACGGGCGGTAACGAATATTTTCTCTCCGTACAATTGGCACCTTCTGTGGGAATTCGACAAACAAAACCTTGTCCTCCAAGCTTCTCCGGTCATCTATTATGGCGAACCACGATGACATTCCGTTGTTCGCCATCGACGGCATCACGTCAGAGTTTGTTCAACGCAGAGATGGCCTGTTCGTAATTTCGACGATGGCGGATTTGGAGACCTCCGCACAAGGACTTCCCAAGGATGTGCGAGACAAGCGCGCAAGGAGTTTTGGGCACTCTGTCATTCCAAAAGAGCGTCACCGACGGTTAGATTCACATACTCAACACTTGGAAGACAAGCTGAGAGACCAAGATACCATCATCAAGAAAATGGCAACGGAGATAAAGGCCATGAGACGCCAGATGAAAAGAAAGGGCATCGCTGGAGTGGGAAACCACAGTGAGCGCGCCCATTCCTGCCGTTCCAGCAGTCTTAATAGACGTTGCACCCCTTCACTCTCCGTCACAAGAAGCCTCAGAGCTGGAGACTACGTTGCGCCGGCGACGATATCTCGCATGCAGGATAATAGTTACCACCCCGCACGCCCGACGACGGCGTCGAGATATTCTCGCTCTGACCGTTCGAAAGACTTGAGGGATGTGTTGGAGGAGCGCGCTCGCCGGCAGGAGGCACAGAGGGTGCCTGCACTGCAGCGGCTGGTCTCTAGAGGGCGAGCCAATGAAAAGGTCGCCATGCCGCAACCACGCTTGGCGGCACACGCGCCACCAGACAGAGAGTTGGCAAGGTTGAGCACCACCCCTTTTTTCGTAGAGATCGAGAACACATCACTCCCCCCTGGGTTCCATCAACCAAAGTTCACACTCTATGACAAAAAGACTGATCCATATATGCACGTAAGCCACTTCTGGCAGGTTATGGCCGGGCACAGGCGAAACGATGCGCTCATGTGCCTTGTTTTTCTATCGAGTTTGGGCGAGTTTGGCCTAAAATGGTTCGAGAGGCTGTCGGAGGAGAGCATCGAGGGGTGGCAACAGTTGGCAGAGGCATTTGTCACCAGATTTAAGACAAATGCCAAAACGCCCAAGGAAATTGACCATCTCTTGAGAGTAAAGATAGAGCCAGGCGACTCTTTGAAGGTGTATGACACTAAGTATTGGGAGACTTTTAACGAGATCCTTGATTGCCCGACCAACCTTACAATCACTCAGTATAAGCGCAGTCTTCCAATTGGACATCGACTAAGAGACTCGCTCACAATGAATCAATTGTCAACTATGGAGTTACTCATGCAACACATTAATGAGCACATCCGAGTCGAAAACGATGCAGTCGTAGTTACCGTGACGACAAGTCTGATAGTAGAGAACAAGAGAGTAGTGGGAAAGGTTCACACAGTCGGACAAGATATCTTCGATGATGGCCATGCAAACCACCATGGAAGGGATATAAGGAGTTCGGTTTTTGAAAGACGTCAGTAAGAAGACCGAGGAAAAGGGACATAAAATTCACATAATGTAAATGGCCGATCCATTTCCAAAACATCGAACTCTGCCAGACTAAAGTTTTGTTCGTAGTTCTATTTTTGTAACTCCTTTTTGCCATTGGCGTAATGCAACAAGTAGAACATTTTCTTGAAAACTGTTGTATATTTGCCTCGCTAAACGTATTTAGTGCGGACCAAGGGGCAACTAACGATCATTTTGATGGAAAGATCAAAATTCCTTGCCAGGCGGATTTTGCTCGGCAAGAGGTTTCTTGATGATTTTATCAACTTTAGAGTTCCTTGACGGACGGATTTTGGTCGGCAAGAGGTTTGTTGAAGATTTTATCAATTTTGGAATTCCTTGTCGGATGGCTTTTACTCGACAAGAGGTTTATTGATGGTTTTAATCAACTTTAGAATCCCTTGCAGAGCTAAATTTGCTTGGCAAGAAGAAAGTCGCGGAGCGGACCTTGCTCGCCGACTTTGGAATTCCTTGCCGAGCTGATCTTGCTCCCCAAGAAGCAAGTCGCCGAGCTGACCTTGCTCGCCGACTTTGGAGTTCCTTGCCGAGCTGTTCTTGCTCGCCAAGAAGCAAGTCACCGAGCTAACGTTGCTCGCTGACTTTTGAGCTCCATGCCGAGTTGATCTTGCTCTCCAAGAAGCAAGTCACCGAGCTGACCTTGCACCCCGACTTTGGAGTTCCTTACCAAGCTGATCTTGCTCGCCAAGAAGCAAGTCACCAAACTGACGTTGCTCGCGGACTTTGGAGTTCCTTGCCGAGATGATCTTACTCGCTAAGAAGCAAGTCACCGAGCTGACCTTGCTTGCTGACTTTGGAGTTCCTTGCCGAGCTAATTTTGTTCGCCAAGAAACAAGTCGCCGAGCTGACCTTGCTCACCAACCTTAAAATTCCTTGCCGAGCTGATCTTGCTCTCCAAGAAGCAAGTCACGGAGCGGACCTTGCTCGTCGACTTTGGAGTTCCTTGCCGAGCTGATCTTGCTCGCCAAGAAGCAAGTCGCCGAGCTGACCTTGCTTCCCGGCTTCGGAGTTCCTCGCCGAGCTGATCTTGGTCCCCAAGAAGCAAGTCGCCGAGCTGACCTTGCTCGCCGACTTTGGAGTTCTTTGCCGAGCTGATCATGCTCGCCAAGAAGCAAGTCACCGAGCTTATCTTGGTGACTCCTATTATTTTTTTATTTATGATGGATCCTACATATACATATGGCATTTGTTGAGTAGATACACAAGATAAAGCCATGTACTACATATGGTAACAATATCTTCCGTAGTCAGTCAATCTCAGCAAAAGTGGAAACCCTGCTACAAGTAATCAAATCAAATCAACCACGGTATACTTTGATCAAAGCAAAGTTGACATAATTGTTACATATGCTTATGAACTAATGCAACCAGACAACCCGTTTACAGTGGGTACAAATAAGCACCAAATGTCTTGGGTCCATATATATTAACGAACTGGTATTTAGGGTAACTCCTCTATTATCAGAATCTTACGATTCACGATTCGATTCACAATTTTTGCAAAATCGATACGAATCTATGAGTGAAACTATTTTGGAAGTGAATCTCTAGTGAATTGCACGATTCACTTTTTATGATTCCTGCAATTTTGAAATTATTGTGTCCGACACATTTTCGACTCTATTTTTCTCCATCTTTTTATTGAAAATGACACAATACAATTTCTAATAGCACTTAATACCAAAATAACCAACATATATACATGATTGGTTGTTATTTTAGTGATCATGAAATTTTTAATAGGATCCAATCAGATTTAGTCAGACCCAACATATTTTTAACATTTCTTCTCATTTTTTGTCCCTTTAAAAAATCGTAATATATCTTCTAAAGATGTTTAAGATTAAAGTTACACTATGAACTATCTATTACTATTTTATTAAATTAAATATCACATGTGTGAGGTCAGTTATACCTTTTAAAATGTTTTAAGCTTTAAAATAAAATATTCTAAATAATTTTTTCTTATTATTTGCTCACTATTACTTAGAAAAGTATGCATACTTATTGTCCAAATATCAATATCGTTGGTAATTAAGGTTACTTTAGAATTGATAGTTTGTCTATTTGGTTATTATCTTTATTAAGAACGTGGATAAGAAATATCTAAACAAGAAAAAAAAAAGTAAGATGGTAATCTTACATAGGAACTTTTGTTAACTAAACAACATGATCATCATTCAAATTTAACATTTTTATTGATTTAAGTCTAAATATTTTATATTCATAAGATATATTTAACATTTAAATGTGTAGATATATGCTTTTAAGTAATTTAGAAAGGGTGACCGAATCTTTACGATTTGCGATTCGATACGAGACTATTTTGATTAACGATATGAATCCCGATTTGATAACTATGGGTAACTCTTTAACCGATCAACCAATTTGACTACAAATATACCAATTATTTAACATGATAATGGAAAACGGTTGGCATGGCCTGTCACAAGGGAAGAAATGTTAATACAAACTGAAAAAGAATGAATAAGAACGGTGAAAACAGATTAAATGAACCATCACACGGCAAAATCCTAGAACAACCAATACCACAACAAAAGAAGGGAAGAAGCAAAATTTTCATCCTGTATTTTTGTTATTGAGTGAGAATCTTTTTTTATTTTTTTTCAAATGCAAAAACCAAATTAGTCCAAGTATAGAAATTCAAAAGATCAGCTCTTGCTATTAAATTAAATCAAGTTCGCCCAGTAGTACAGTTATGGGCCATTACATGCCATCAACCATTTCTTATCACTAGTGTTGTGTTGATTGATTTGCCAATATTCTTCTCAAATATTTACCAATTGCTAATCAAAGAAAAAAAAAACCTGCCATGCTTGCGTGAAATACATTCAGCACTATATCAGGCAGCGCCAGAAGTCATACTTCCAATTGTTTTAAGATCGAAAATCTCAATCCAATAGCCATCAGGATCCTTAATGAATGCTATCCCCTTTATTTTCCCTGCAAGCAGCATGGCATGTTTCTTGACATCAATGATAATTACACAACTATTCATCCTTAAAGTTTTGGTAATACATCCAGCTTTTACAATCCTACCAATAAAGCAATGCAGCATTAGTAATTTTCAGCTAAGGGTGCAACTTTGGCAAGTTCAACCCAAGAAACCTGATCCCAACCTGAAACAAATCATGCTTGGGCAGTGTATTTACGAATTCGAGCCAAGCTTGGGCTAAATTTCTCCAGCCCAAAATAAGTTCAGGCCAGGCCCGGGAAGAAGCCACAGACAACCAGAGCACGATTTATGAAAATTATATATGATAAATACTAATACCTATACAGCTCTGAATGTTAGATTACCGTTGGATTAAATCTTAAGCTGAGATTATTAAAAATCCAGATAGATAACCATTGGATTAAATCTTAAACTGAGAATATTGAGAAATTCTCATCTGGCTTCCCCTCACGCTCCCTCCCTCTCTCACAGTCTAACTCTCTGCCTCTCTACCTGGCACCACTGTCAATGTGCCGCACTATGATTTCCTACCTTTCCTTCTCAGGTATCTCTCTAGTCATAGCCCCTCCCCTACCTCTCTCCATCTTCAACTCCTTTTCTCCATATCAAACATGCACTCCCCCATTTTCCCAATTTCACCCCCCCTCACAAAAAAAAAAGAAAAAGAAGTAAATAAATATAGCGATCCCAATTTTCCCTTCATTGTTTAATTGTATTTCAGACTCGGTTCCGTAGATGTGTTGTTGTCTTTTTCCCGTTTCCATCCTTTACTCTTTGTATATGAGTCTTGGGTTGTGTTGGGTAGGTTTAAAACAGGTTGGTTGTATTTGGAAACCAAGGGTTAGTGTCCATTAAATTTTCATAATGGTTCATTTAATATCCTTATTAGTGGTTTTTTTGACATTTTTTTTTGTCAAATTAATTTATATTTTATCAAATTGACGACTTTATCTTTAAAATTAAGCAATGATATCTTTAATTATCCTTATTTGGAATAAGATTTAAAATTTAAGATTAAATGTGTTACAATTGAAAAAGTAGGACCAAAGGTATTACATTTTGTCTACTTTTAAGAGTTAAGTATATCATATGAGACTTACATAAAGGGCAAATTTGGAAAATTAGCCATAAAATCCAATTTTTAATTATATAAAAAAAAATCATTATTGACATCAAAAACTTATGTTGGAGAAAAAAAATAAATTTAAGGGTAATTTTTCCAATTTACCCTGTGGGAGAGGTTAAACTTTTTTTTGTAAATAAATTACTTGAGTTAATTACCTAAAATTTTTAGGAATAATGCTTGGGACCCCCTTTTGGGGGTCACCCCCTCACCCCCTTTGCCACGTGACGAGTGGTGATTGGAGGAGCAGGAAAAAAAAGAAAATGAAAAAGAAAATATAACCAATGAGAGAAAGAGGGGGTCAAAGGGGATGGGGGAAAAGGGGGATGAATCATTATTGAATTTTTATTTACAAATGTTATATTAGCTTAGGTCCTATCTAACATTTTTTGAACCAATAAATCTTATTAGTAAAAATGAGAATATTATTAATTTTTCTCAATTTTTAAAACTACGAATATTATTAATTTTGCATAATAATATTCCAAATAATTGTTTCACTAACTGATAAAAAAAAAAACAAAGTATGAGATTAAACGTTTTTACCCTTCTACTTATTGATTTATAAGATGGCAAAAGGAGGCAAACTAACCAAGCTCAAGTCAGCAAACAGCTCAGCAGCCGCTCCACCTACGGCGGCTCCGTCGTCACCGCCGCCTCGTCCTCAACCCACTCTTCCTCCAACGATGACTACTCCTCCTCTTTCCACAACAACAACGACAAGATCTCCAAAGCCCCCCACCCCGTCTACGTCGGCAAGTCTCGCCGTCGCTACCTCGTCGGCTCCGACGTCGTTGACAACCCCGTCTTCCAGGAGCTCGTCGAGAGGTCCGGCGACAACGATGGATTCATGTTCCTCTCTCTCTCTGCACCTGGGCTCTCTCTCTTCTCGGTGGACCACCACCGCCGACCATGATCTGTAGCTCTCACGCACTGCTCGTCTGCTCACAGCTCTCTCCCTCTCGGCAACTCTCTCTCTTCCGGAAAACACACACCAAACCCAGCTCTCTTCTCTCTCTAGATTTCTAGGCTTCTCTCTCTCACACAATACTCACCCAGCCACCCACTCCATACACACCCAAGATCTTCCCACCCATGCACATGACACCCAGCTAACACACACCTCTCTCTCACCCACGGCACTCACAGCAGACACACAACACACACACCCACGGGATTGACAGACCCAACACAACACACACTCACACACACACCCACGGGATTGACAGACACACATG